GTTCTGGTTTTCGTGAAATAATCAATGTAAATTGGGATTAGCATAAATATGTTCAGTGAAATCGTTATGAAGAATAGATCTGTCTTGTACAGCCGGTTACACCAATGTTCAATGTACTAGAAGGAAATTCATTTCTTGCTCTAATAAATCGAACGTGATCTTGATAAATCGGTGCCCTGAAACTGCTTCCATCGCGACTTCCGTAAAATCTGCAGTCTAACGTTCATCGGCGGTTCAGATGGGGAATCCGCGAAATGAACGCTAATTATCCTGTTCGCAGTCATTCGTGTACGTATCGACAGCATTCTCGAACTGCGTACATGAGACCATCGACGAAATCCATTACGATCCTGCCATAGACTGTGACAAACTAATGACATTGGTGGATTGTTTGGACGACGATAAACTACTGGCGATAGAGGCTACGTAAGTATCCGTCCGGAAACAATAGTGACTAGTACAACAATTGTTGTTGTTATAGTAGCAGATATTATTAAAATAATCCATATTGTAGATTGCGCGGAAAGTGGCCGAACAACTACATTTTCTCTAAATCAACTGCCGAAAATGTCGTGCTAAAGTATGCGGGTGACCTTCCAGTAGGGATTGTTCGACCTTCAATTGTGACGGCAACGTTCCACGAACCTCTCGAAGGATGGATTAACAATATCAACGGTGCCACGGGCTTACTTGTCGGAGGCGCTATAGGTCTGTTGCATACTTTGCACTGCTTGCCAGAGTATGCATCAGAAATCATACCTGCGGATTACGTTGTGTCCAACACTATTGCTGCATCTTGGGACATCAATAAACGGTGAGCGTTCCGTCTGAAGGAAATTAAAGGTTGTATTTCCAAGGTCGCTGATGTTTGCTTCAATTGTGATACGCAGCGGATGAAATTGTTATAAAATTAAGAAATTATTATAGCATTGAAATATTCTTCGGACGATGTTGGACCACATCAACAATTTAAATGTAAGACCGTGTTTGTTCAAATCGATCCCCTTACTTTATTTAAATGAACAAGAATCGTGGCTGTGCGATTTTTCTCCACGATGTTATAACGCTTTAACGTAACGCTTGCATATCCTATACATTGGATATCAGGAAAGGGCTGCACTTCTCAGGGTTACATTTAAAACGTTATTATGATTTCGGGTACGTACTGTTCAAAATGTTTGTATGTTATAATGTTCTTGAGCAGTATATAATATCATTTTTATTCATTTCTTCGTGCATACGGTTGAAAGAACCCTTTGCTGCAGAAGAAGATATAAAAGGAAAGAGATTTTATGTAGTCGTCCCACGAGTGTAATAAACAAAGTCGGATGTATATAATAAACATGATACAATACAAGAAGAAAACTAAGGAACAGTGTATCATACATAACAAAGATATAATAGATATAGTAAAATCTTTAGTAAAAGATATAGTAAATTATATATAGTATACAGGGTGTCCCAAAACTGTCTCGCAATACGGAAATGTGGGGTAGCTGAGGTCATTCTAAGTAACTTTTTCATTTGCGAAAATGCAATCTGCGGCTATGTATACGAGTTATTAACGAAAAACACTGGCCAATGAGAGGTGACGGCGCGAGAGAGAGAGAGTCCGCGAGAGAATTCGCAGCACAAGGCTTTGACAGAAGGTCGGGACGGACTCGAGCCGCGTTCGAAGTATTGAAGTTCACGAAGCGTGAACTTTCCGGATTTTTTTTCATTACGTAAAAGTGATATTTTTTTAGAAAAACGCTGTTCACCTCTACTTTAGAACGTCTGAAGAATATTTACTAATTTTTCGGACCCGAAATAGTAAGTAATTTAACCGTGACGGCCGTTTTAATTTTCTAGTGTGCATGACACCTTGTGTGTAACATATGACATTTTTAAGCAAGGTGTACAGTGAAGATTACTAAAGTACGTAAATGATATTTTAATTTAAATAATTCCGTGTCCGAACACAGTTCAACGAATGATTCGCAAAAGCTGATTTAATAATAAATAATCGCGTTAAGGTACGTAAAGGATTTGTTTATTAGAGAAATATGAAAAATATTATCAATAAGGAACTCATCCATTTATATATAGTACATATATAGTCAATTATATAGTAAATATAGTAAAATAGAATGGATGAGAGATTTTATCACTCATACAAGTAGTGCCACTGGGAAACAAAATCAAAGATAAAGAATATTCGAAAGAATTACCAGACGATCGAACTATGCCCGAAACTGATCTGTCAATGATTCTTTCCTAGGAATGTTTCGGCAAAACTGGAGAAAAAGTCGGACCTACCAGACGAGGATAGGGTGCCAATTTACAACCAAGTGACGTCACCACAGAACCGACTAGAATGGAGCAGCTTCATGTATCTAAGTAAAAACCACGGCTACAGTATCCCGACCACGCGTACGATTTGGTTCTACTGGTGCATAATGAACAGATACCTGTTCATTCACAATATATACTCTATACTCTTCCACATCATACCAGCAACTATCGCGGACACATTGGCACGACTTGCAGGTCATAAACCGATGTACGTTTGTGGTATTTCGCGTACAATGGTAACAACCCGTGGAACGAGCAATGGTCTTCACCGAGTTCACGTTTTGCAGGTTACTGGATGCGTATGCAAAAGTTGATAAGTTCAGCGATGTTATATCCTTTTTCTCCACGCATCAGTGGAAATTCCGGGATGAGAATGTGAAGAAATTGTGGTCGAAGCTGGGACCCATCGACCGAAAAAGCTTCAATTTCAACGTGACAGACATAGACTGGTCGGATTACTTGTATACCAATGTTAGAGGCCTCCGTGTATACTTGCTGAAGGATCCACTCACTGAAGAGTCCTTACGAGCGGGTCGCAGTAAATTCTGGAAGTAATACTTGTAGTTCCAGTGTCATAATTAACAAAACCATTAAAAATTAAATATTACAACCAACCTTCTTTGTTTCAGGTTGCGCATTGCAAATTACGTCGTAATGACGCTATACGCGCTGTTGGGACTATGGATTGTCTATTCTTTAGTTTCCTTAGTTTGGTCGTTCTGCCCATTGTCACATTAGCGTTTTCGCTAGTTTCGTAAGGCCCCGTGAATTTAATAAAACTTAATTTAATTTTCTGTGCGAGTCTATACGAAAAGTGGACCCCTTCTGTTGCGACAAACAATATTAAATGCGAATTCTTCGTTTAGCATCTGACACTTAATTGAATAGGATAGGTTTTTAAATAGCTTGTGTCCTCGAAATTCTGTATAGTTGTAAAAGAAAATCTGTCAGTCCTACTTTAGCATATAGCATCTTCGTAATTTATTAGAAATTTTAGTTATTACATCAATTAAACTTATCTCTGCGTCTAATTAAATGAAATAGTAAACTTGACCTACGATGTGAATTTTAGAGATCTCTTGCAATTATTGGACTATGAGGTTATTGAATAATTATTAAAAAGCTTAACAGAAATATAGTATCGGGCATATTCAATTCTTACTAACAAGTTTCAAATTATGGTTATCGACAAAGTAATGGAATCTCTTCAATACAAACGCGGACTTAGGATCACTATAGTCATCGCATTTTGTTTTGTTTTGTTCAGATTTGTTAGGCTGTCCGATTCCTCGAATATTAGAGCGGTTTAAAATCTGGGCTGAGACGGGCTTTGGTTTTCGAGTCGAGTCGAGTACTCGGTAAAACTGAGCGAGCTCACCTTCATGTTTACCTAAA